GTCAGAGTGGAGTGGGGCTGCCCACTTGGTATTTCACCTAGGGTCAGGTCTTATTCCGCAGATCAGCCAGGAGTTTATACTTCTGATAATACCTCATACTTTGTTAAGAACTACCTAAGGTGGGGACAAACAAAGCCAATCCATCCTCCAGTGGGCCATGTGCCTCTAGAATCTCCTGATGAATTTTGCCTCCTCTTCCACACTCTCAATAGGGACGTTATTCCCCTCCACCCCACCTCAACCTTTTGGAAGCTGAAGTTAAACCCCTGGAACCCCATTCAGATCACCCTAATGCCCCCCTACTTCAAAAAGCACCAGGAAGATATAAACTATTTATCTAGCAGTAGCAACTCTCATTAAAATTGTAACTTTCTAGTAACCTTTTAGCCACTGGGCAATACATCAAACTGTCACACTTCAAGAAACAGTAAAATTTCAAGAGGAAATCAAGACTATTCTGCATTGCTCAAGCAGTCTAAAAAAGTGTTTCTGAGTAGCTTACGAGTTTCACAGAGTCAGCAAAATCTCATGATACAATGAGAATTAACTTCCAGTTTCTAAAGCTAGAGCCACTGGTGTTAACTTACACTATTCCCTCTCCTTCCCACCTCGAATCTGCTTCATCACAGAGAGCTCTCACACCTTCTGCCTGTACCTCAGTCTAGCAGATGTCCATCACTTTCCATTCTGTTTCCTCCAACAGTTTCCTTGATCTCCTTGATGCCCAGCTCTCCTCTCTATTACTCACCCTGTTCAACATGCCTGAAAATGTGCTGACTTGTTTAACCACTTCTTTATACTCTGCTTCTGTCCTACAAGTGGACTAATCATCCCAAACCATTATTTTCTGTTTCTCTCCTGTTAAAATAGTCTTTCATGCATCTAACAAATACTTAATGAGCACCTCCTATGTAGAAGACATTGTGCTAGGCTCTACAGGAGGTAAACAAACCTGATCAGCACCTCAGGGGGTTAACAGTATTGTGGGAGTGGCTTACATATACACAAATAACTATAATAAGATAAAATGTGTACAAGTCAGGCCATTGAAACAGAACTGTCAGCTGGATGTCAAGTGAAATTAGAATTAGTAAAGGAGACGGAGAACTGGACAACAGAAAAGGCTACAGAGGTTTCCAACCATTAACAGGCCAGAGAACATCAGGAAGAAATACAAACAGAAGGAGCCTGACAGGAAAGTGTCAGGCTAGAAAGTGAATGCACTTGCCAAAGCCCCAAATCAGGGCACAATATCAGAGATTTCTGTTCTGCTTTAAGATGTTGGAAGCAGTCTGAGAAATGCAATTTCAACACCAAAATATTAGAGTTTCCAGGATTGATGCCTTAAAGGGACAATGGCATAGAACATAAAATTGGAACTATCCCAGAAAACATCCAGTCCGTGTGGATTCGGTAGGTATGAAGAAATATAACAGGAAAGGAAGATTACGGATATACAATCTATTGGCCTAACCGGTGTTTCACCTAAGGAAATTTACTTGGCTTCTCAAGTTGGGGGTTTAGATAGCTTTTGTACTGTTAGAAAATTGAGCATCCTGACAAACTATGGGGCTCCTAATTAAACTTCAGGTAATCCTGGCTGTTCTACAGCATTTATGTGCTGCCTGTGGAGTCTGGGAACCTCATGAGAAGAAGACTGGGATGCCATTTTATTGCAGCTGGTGATCCATTCAGGTCTAATTAATAAACCCTGTTCCACAAATGCTGAATCCTTTGAAGTTGCTGAAAGTAGTTACAGGTTATGTCATGATTCAGATATCCACTGGCAAGTCATGACTAGCAAATATTTTCAAAACCAGATATAATAAGATGTCACTGCTGCCGCTGCCAAGTCACATCAGTCGTGTTCAACTCTGTGCAACCCCATAGACGGCAGCCCACCAGGCTCCTCTGTCCCCGGGATTCTCCAGGCAAGAACACTGGAGTGGGTTGCCATTTCCTCCTCCAATACATGCATGCTAAGTTGCTTCAGTCGTGTCCGACTGTGTGCGACCCCAAGGACAGCAGCCCACCAGGCTCCCCTGTCCACGGGATTCTCCAGGCAAGAATACTGTAGTGGGTTTCCATTTCCTTCTAAGATGTCACAGCCACCTGTAATTCTTACAGGAACAAGTCAGGTGGATCTAAAAACAAATCAACACACAACTGTGTGGTTATGCTAAATCCTTGAGCTGTACATTTTAAATTGGTGAATTGTATGGTGTGTGAATTCTGTCTCAATAAAGCTGTTATTTTAACCAACAACAAACATGTTTTAATCAAAATGTTAGTTTCCAGAAATGTTGTATCCTAGGAACCAGGCTATTGCCTTGAAAATGTTTACACTGCTGGAAAAATCTACAGAAAGGAAGCCCTACTAAACTGCTGTGTCAAAACTATTATCAATTTAGCTAAAAAGAATAAACTGAATGATCTTTTGTCTTTCACTGTAATAGGAGCTGATTTGTGTCACACATCTAAATCTGCCTTTAAGCTCTGAATGACTCTTTTAAAAGGTCACTTTTCAAATTTAACTGCTTTATGTTGAATATCATTATTATGGCAAGTCACTATTACGTCTTTCTTTGTAGACTACCCCAGAACTTCCTTTCCTATAATCCTCTGCAAGGAAAAAATCCTTGTGTTTATCCACTGATACTACATCTAATGATTTCCCTCTTCCTCTAATAGTCACTACCCAAGCCTTTACCTCTAGAATCATCCCAACTTTCTCATGTCCCAACCTGTTCCCTAACTTCTACAAATAAATATCATACCATCCGTCTGCCTGCTGCTGAGGCAACAGCAGGTTTTTATGCCCTTGGAAATTCAAATTGGGCCAAAAATAAAAAGAAGCAGGCTGTGAGCCCTTTGAGGAAAAGGACTGTGTTTTGTTCATCTGAGAACCCCTCAACATTCCACAGGGTACCTGGCGTTCAGGAGGAGCTCAATAAATAGTTCTGCCTGCCATTAAGCTAAGGTCCACTCACAAAAAGAATAAGCCAACAAGCCAAGTGACCAGATTCTTAGATACAAATGTATTTAGGAGAAGGCAATTAAGCTCAATTTCCTTATTGATGCTTAAACCAGTTTGTCTTTACAATGACTAGAGGGTGAATTTTAAAAGAGATTGTGATGATGCTACAACCAAAGCCCCAAAACTTACAATTTTAAAAATCCCAGGATCTTTTAAATTTCTTTCTTGCCAATTATTTGGGGGTGTGTGTGTTGGGGGGGGGGTTGGGAAGGCAGATCCAAAATCCAAGAGAAATGTATTATCCAACCAGTCTTGTTAAGCAGGCTACAAATAGGCAGGCAGCTGAAGGATAGACTCCTCGGGCAGTGAAGAATGGGGTCTATACAAAGTAATTGAGGAATATTTATAGACCCCATCTCTTCTTGTGAAAATGACTGATATTTCTTAGCATTTACCTCTAAGAAATGAGTTAATATGTATAAAGCACTTAAAACAGTACCTGGCACATAGTTAACTTTATATAAGTGTTTCTTAATGAAGTAAATTCAGATCAATTTCCAATTGCATTCAATCATATGTTAGAATCCACAATGCCTTAAGAATGACCAGGTTTAGAGAGAAGTTTCAATTATGTAGTTTTCAAATCTGCAGCTGGAAACAAAGAGATCCCAGGAAATGTTTCATGCAAATTCACTTCATGCTTGAAGAAATATACCTTATACTTGTAAAGAAATTCACAGCTTACAAAAAGCAATCCCATCTACTATTAAGTTTGATCCTCACAACAGCCTTGTGAGAGGCAGGGCAGGTAAAATTAACTCCATTTACAGATGAGTAAACTGAAGTACAGAGAGATTAAGTGATTTGCCCAAGGTCACACAGTAAGTGAAAAGGCCCAGACTAGAATCAAGGTCTCTGGATTGGGGGGCGGGGGAAGTCCAGACCTCTTCCTTCTATAACATGCTGCAACTTGGGCTTACTTGGGTCATATTTGGAAGCAATGATTCTGGGACCATAAATGTAGACTTGAAATGCAAGACACAAATGCAAACTTGAGTAGTTAAGGCAATTCTGTTAACTGGCATTAGAGGTAATTAATAGCTGGCAAACACTGACCTACACAGGAGTGGTAGTATAAAATGCCATGACTACACGCAGTCACACAGGGCACCACACACTGTCTTGATGGGTAAGTTCTCCAAAATATGCCATTCAGAGATCAGCAGCGACAGAGAATTTTGACGTCAGTACAAGAAAGGAAAGGCTGCCACTTCCCTTGAACTAAACCCAGAAGAAGGCTCGCCCCAGCGGCTGGTGAAGACATGGAGCCTAACAAGGCTCTGAGGGATTACACGCAGATTGCAAATTCCCAGGGACAAATGAGTGTCCACCATCCCAGTGAAATCAGCTTCCATTTATTCCTATCTTCCCCAGGGGCTCTCCACCCCCAGGGTAAGCAATCTGAAACCCGGCAACTAAAGGTGAAAATCGACTGGCGACCGTTTGCAGGATTCCAAATCGCACAGAAAGGTTGGCCGGCGGTAGAAGTGGCACCGCATACCAACACAAGGCGTTATTTTAAGCGCATGTCCCTAAGGGAGAGACCGAACTGATCTAGCATCTGCCAGATCTACAAGATCTAGCATCTCCCACCAGCCAGGATTTTTCCTAAAGCAAGACTGAGAGCTAAGCAATCCTGACCCAGGCCCGCCCTACTAAATCCACAGGGGCCCTCCTTCCACTTAGAGACCCGCGCTGCTCCCGGCCCAGAAGCGTGGCAGGGACCAGAGAGGCACCCCAAGGCAAGGCTGCCCCCGCCGCCTTAACCATCAACGCCCGAGCGAGGAAGGCGCCCCTGCGGGCGACCCACGGTCAGGGACCGGGATTTTGAAAGGCTCGGAAAGGGGGTGGTGCCGGCGGGGCTGCACCGGGCCCCCGCGCCCCGGCCCCTCCCTGGCCTGACAGCCGACCGCGGCGGGTAGCGCAGCCCCCTCCCCACGGTGCGGCTCGCCGGGCGCCTTACCTTTGTGTAGAGCTCGGACGCGGCCATGGCGGGCCCCTCGGCGCCGACGCCCCCCGCCTGTGCGGAGGCCGCACCTCGCCTGGGCGGCCGCCCGCGCGGACTAGGAAGCGCCCCGGCAGCAGCTGGCGGGGAGGAGGGCAGGGCAGGGCCGGGCGGGGCGGGCCGCTCCGGGCGGGGCGGGGCGGGGCCGGGGGGGGCGGGGCGCCTCAGGCGCGGGCGGCCTGCGGGGGGCTCGCCATCACTCCCGGGCTCGCCGCGAGCAGTGGCGCGCGCGCGGCGTGCCCGGGGTCCTCCGAATCGCCGCCACAGCCACCCCGGCGGCCGGTGATGGTGCCGCCGCCGCCTCCCTATGCATTATGGGAACGGGAGGAGGCTGCGCTCCGGCGCTGCTGCCACCGCGGCGGCTTCGGGTTCTCTCGGGCTCACGCTGCCTCCCAACGGCTGCGGGTCCCGAGCATCATCTGCCTGCCAGCCAGCGTCGCCGCCGCCTCCTCCCGCGCTGCCGAGCCCAGAAGCCCGCCTTCGGACACCCGCTCCTCGCACAACCTTCCCGGGGCCGCGTCGCCTCCGGGATGCCCCCGACCCCAAGCAAGCACTGGAAGGTGCAGAATAGCCCAGCCCCCGAGAGGGGAAGCGATAGCTGTGTCACTGAGGGTGGCCAGGTAACTGATCGCGAGTCTGCAGGCTGCTTCTCCTGTGCTTCCCAGAATTTGTAGAGAAAGAAATTTGGGGAGAGGCTTCTTGGAAGGTCACAGAATAACCTAGAATTCCAGAAGAGCTTTGTTAGCCTTAGAGGTCTGGGAGTGAGCAAGAACTGGGAATCTGAGAGAAATAATCACCATTGTCACCCCGACCACTTCAGCATCTGCCACAGGGTCGTTTCGTGAAACCAAAGCATAGGGTTTTTTTTTTTTTTTTTAACTACAGAAAATGTAAGTGCGCCTGGTACCAAGATGCCGCCATGGGGCAGCCCTCAAGCCTCCGCTCCTAGGCCTGCGGCTGCATAGCGGTCCAGAACCCTTCGGTCCCTGCCTCTTTATCTAGTCGCTGTTGTCCTTGCACTTCAAGCACAAGAATGTGATCCTTCCACTCCACCCCCATGCCGTCTTCACCCCCTACCTCCTACCCAGCCACACTTTCATTCCGGTTTGGCTAATCTCCGTTTTTTTCATCCCAACGTCTTTTTAGCGTGGCCATCTTCCCTCGGTTCTTTGAACTCTTAAGTGGTGCCTAGTGTCAGTCCTGGGGCTCTGGGATTTCTATCAGGAGCATCTCTCAAGGCTGGTGCCCTTGGTAGTGGTGTGTATCCTGCATGTGTATGTGAAGGAAGATCAGTGACGCGGGGGACACTTGGAGCCAGGCCTCCCTTACTCACTGTCCACAGTCTGCTCAGAACTGCCAGAGTTAATAACTACAGAGACCTGCAGAATTCTACCTTCCAGTTCTGAAACCAAATCTTTGGCTCCCACCCTTTCTTTAAAAAAGAGAAAATCTGTGCAGCTATGAGCAGTACACCAGGAAGGGCACTGGATTGAGACTTCTGCCCCTTGCAGGCTCTCCACGCCTTGTATAAGGGGGTAACCACTCTGTTTTCTCACCCTGCAGCTAGTAACCTCCCTCCCAGGGAGTGTGCTGATGAAGGGGTTCAGGGTATACCACCTCAGGGTATATGCTGCTTTGGTATAATGGCTATTTTGAGTTGGGGGACCTTGAAATACATCAAATACAAGGAAAATACTGACCTTCCTTCTTTTTCTCAAGAGCAGAAAATGAAATTTCTATATGAAAGATACCCTCCCTAGTACCAGAAGGAAAGTAACGTTCTTATCTTCAAGGACGAGAAAGCGAAAGCAAGAGAATTCTATACAAACAGAGCTTGTTATAATTCTTATCTTCCTTTAGCTTCCCCACATCAAGTCACTTTCCCACAACTGCTTCTCTTTGTTCAACCCAGTATAAAAGCTAGTAAGTTTTGTCACTTATGTGGGTCTTCATTTCCTTATGAAGGCTCTTGTATCATGTAAAGCAATATGAATCAGAATGATTTTCTTGCATTAATGTATTTTTGTCAGTTTAATTTTCAGACCCAGCCAGGGACCCCCGGAGAGTGGAGGAAAAATTTTTCTTCCCCTAAACTGAAAGAAACTAAAAAATTAAGTGTTATAGGTGTCAGTGAAGTTTTTTGGTTGTTTTGTTTTGTGTTTCCCCTAAAGAAACTAGAATTATGTTCTTGTAATTCCTGAACACAGGTGTTGAACCAGTCAAATATTTGGGCCCATTGTAGGAGGAAGGTAATGAGGATGAGGAAGAGGAGAAGGGTTTTCTGCCCTGGACCTTATATTAATTCATTCATTCAGAATAGACTTAAAAGTTGGAATAAGCAATCAGGAAACCCTGATGGCTGACCTCCCTGCCTTAACCATGTATGTTTATAGTCCCAAGCACTCTTCCATCAATGAATAGGGGAAACCAGAAGTAGGAACAACTTATGAGGGTTTAAGTTTTCCCCCTCCCAAAGAAGTAAGCAGAGTATATTTTATATGCTATTTTAAATTGATAAAGTTTTCAATTATTACTTTATAAGGGGGAAATATTTTATGTAGATTGTTTTCCAAATGAAGTGTCCAAGTTATTGTGAAAAATCTCTTTCCTCCAAAGTATTTGTTTCAACAGACACTGAGACCTACATTGTACCAGAAAATATTCTACATGCTAAGGTTTCTAGGGTAAACAAAACAGAGACTTCCCTGGAAACCTTAGCATGTAGAATATTTTCTGGTACAATGTACAGTGGTTAAGACTCCTTGCTTCCAATGCAGGGGGTGCAGATTTGATCCCTGGTTGGGAAACTAAGATCCCACGTGCCTAGGGGGCAAAAAAAGTAAACAAAACAAATAAAATCCCTGACCCCATGGAGCTTACATTTTAGTCAGGAAGACAGATAATTATAAAGTTAGAAAGTGAAGGTGATAAGTGTATTAGTTTGCTAGAGCCATATTAAAGCACCATAACCTGGATGTTTTAGACAGAAATGTACGGTGTGAGCTGGAGGCTAGAAGTCTCAGAACAAGGTGTTGGCAGCGTTAGTTCCTTTTGAGATCTGGAAGGGAGACTGTTCCATGCCTGTCTCCTACATCCTAAAGGTTTTGCATCCTAGCAATCTTTGGCATTCCTTGGCTTCTGCTGCATCAATCTCTGTCTTCATCTTCATGTGGTATTTTGTGTGCATACATGCCTCTGTCTAAATCTCCCCCTTTTCTAAGGACATGGTCATAATGGATTAGAGTCCACACTAGTGCCTTCATCTTGATCATCTGCACAGACCCTATTTCCAAATAAAAGTCTCATTCACAGGTTGTAGGGGTGAGGACTTCAACATCTTTTAGGGGGCACAATTCAACAGATAACCATGTGCAATGAAGAAAAACTAAATAGAGAAGAGAGGGGAAAACTAAACAGCATTTTTTAGTTGGGTGGTCATTGCTTTTTTCAAAATGAAAAAAAAAAAATCTATTAAGGGCCTGTCATGCAATAGCCCTGAAGACCATAAAGACAAGAGATGAATGAAATACAGCCCCTGGCCTGGGGGAGCTCACTGGAAGAAGTGGCTGAAGGGGTAAGGGAAGGGGCAGCCTATGCTGCAAGGTCACATAAAGTAGTGATTCTAATTCTGTAACATTGGTTCAGCTCTAGAGGCAGAGTACAGTACTTTTGTTGGCAATTACATACCCTAATATTTAATATTTCAGAGGACTATGCATAGGCATAGGTGACCTTTGGGTGGGAACCTCATACAGTTAATTAAAAGATCCAAAAGATGATATGGACAGGGGTGCATGTGTGGGTGTGTGTATGTGTTCAGTCACTAAGTCTTTGCAACCCTGGCTGGGGAGGGAGTCATTTATTGTTGAAAAGATACGTAAAGGAACAGCCGGGGGAACGAGGCTATGAAGCAGAAAAGGCAGAGTGAAGAATGGACAAAAACTGACCTAAAAGCCTTGAAATCTGGAAGGCAGACATCAGGTATGCCTGAATGCCCACCCCTGCACTTCCCTAGTTCCAGCCAGTTATCCTAGCTTCCTCTCACTTGGGAGCTTAGGCCTAGCCCCACTTTAAGGCTCCCCAGGCAAGGAGGATAAAAAGGATCGTACTTAACTCAAAAGGTACAATTATTTTTATTCCCAGTACCTATTACTCTAATTCTAGATTCTAATCTTGTGTTTCTTAAAATATCTCTGAGCTCTGACCTTTTGTTCCCAGTCTTCTAGCCTGTGTGCTGACCACCTGCTATTGGAGCAGCCTCTGCATCTCTAAGCCTAGCTTCTTCTAGCAGTTGTTTGTTCTAGATCTTGAAACACTGTCTGCTCAAATCCACAGCACTTGCCTGCTTTATGTTGCCTTTATCTTCCTGAATTACTTAGCTGCAAATACTTATTAGCCACTCTCATTCTCTGCCCCCAATAACCACTGACACACATCTCCTTTCCATGTGGTAATGGTGGAAGTCCCTCAGTAGTGAAAATGACAGATCCCACACCCCTTCTGCCATGTAAGGATATAATGAAAAGACAGCCACGTATGAGGAAGTCAGCTCTCACCATATACTGAATGTGCTGGCACTTTTATCTCAGACTTTCTAGCCTCTATAACTGTGAGAAATAAATTTCTATTGTTTAAAAGCTACCCAGTAATTTTTGCTATTTTGTTATAGCAGCCTAAATAGGTTAAGACACCTGGAAATCACAAACACCTGTATTTTATTCAGGTTTCCTTAGTTTTTACCCAGTGTCCTTTTTTGTTCCAGGCCTCCAGGATTGTGAGAAAATAAACTTCTTTTGTTTAAGCCACACAGTCTATGGTACTTTCCTATGGCAGCCCCAGCAAAGTAATTCAGGCCCCCTTTCCACACACTTGAATAAAGTCGCCATATGCAGCCCACACTGAAGGGGGGGAGAGTCATGCTCCACCTCCTTGAAGAGAGAGTACCTCCATAAGCCTAGAATTCTTCTACATGGATGATTTGTCTCATCACCCCATTTATTTGCTTATACATACAGACTCATGGGTATTTATTTTACATTTTGCATTATAATGTTATACTACTTTATTTTGCTGCTCAAATTGCTCAAGCTTTGGCTATTGGGAAATTTCAATTAGTACCTGTTTCCCTTTCACATACTAGCCCACCCCCTCCATCATTCTGTGTAGGTTTGGGGTTTTTATTTATTTATAATATTTTTAGCACTTACTTTCTAGTACTACAAGATGCTACAAATTCATCTTGTAAACTCCCTGCCACAGTTCTAGAATCAGCCACTTCTCCAAAAAGTCCTGATACATTTCATTGGAGAATATCAGAAGCTGTGATCTCAGCCTTGTTGCTACAGGGGTATTATTGCTTCTAGAACTTCTCAACAACAGAGCAATGAATTATGTGTATGCTGTGAATGTAATGTAGCCTCCTATATTAAGCCAGAGTTCATACTGACGTCTCCAACTCCGTATCTATTACAACCTAGATCCCTCTTGCCTCATCCCCTAGCTACTTATAAACTCTACTACAGTGAAAAACCTGAGCCTCATTTTTTTTTTTTTAAAACGAGCAACTTCTGTGTGTATTGTCATTGAGGGGTTCAGTGAGATAAATGAGGAAATGGACTGG